CATTATAAATGAGATTTGACTAGTTGAAATTATTTTTCATGGCACCAAAAGTAAGGATTGAGTGGATTCAGTCCATCGCTTTCTGAGATGGGGATTATGCTGTTTCAGCTGATAAATTATCTATACAACCTTGTCTGGATTCAAAAGCTAAGCAAATTGGGCCTTGTTAAAACTTGGATGATAAATTGCTACAGAATATCAGAACTGGAGACCAGGCAAGTTAAAAAAAATCAGAAACAAGGCAAACTATTTACATTTTGTTGGAAATAAAATGATATGTTTTTTTAAAGAACATTGGAGTCACTAATCTTATTACATTCCAAAAATATGTTTGGGTTAAATCTAAAGCTTTATTTTAGCAACCCTGATCAAATATATCAAGTAAAAGTACTGATTAAAGTGGCTCAGCTTATTTAATAGTGTTTTTTAAAGATTTACTAACCTCAAAGCTACAGAGGAGAGAGTCGTTGTATTCATTTTGTATTCATTTGGCTTGGCATAATCAACAGTTTCTCTTCTGTGGATGAAACACAAAGTTTCTTGATTCTGAAATATTTTTTGAAAATGCTTCACTTTCCAGATCAGCACACTAATTCTGCTCTTTCAGCAGGGCTTATCCACATCCATAATTTTATTTTTCTTCTGGGAGAGGCTGAAATAATCCAGTTAAAGTGCACAGAGTATTTTGCATTCAGTGGTTCAGAATCCAGTCTTTGTCATTTCCATCTAAAGGATCTCAGATAGCATTACTGGAATGGGTTTGAGACCGAATCAAACAAGGCATAGTAGGTTAAATATGTAAACAGTCTAAGGCAGTTTCCTGTGAGCCTTTATTTTAATTAATAACTTGTAAATATATATGACTAAGCATAATTAGACTGTAACCTCCAGAGTATTTTATTTGATTCCCTTGATTCTCTAGCAGCTTAACGGAAAATTGAATTATATTAGCTTATTAGTATCCTTTCGTCTTTCTATCTGCATTAAAATAATATGAATCAGCATTAATCAGAACTTTGGCTTTTATCTAACAATGGCCTCATTAGAAATAAAACCAAAGTCATGTGAAGATTAGAAACTAGCATTAGACACATCCAGTGCGTTTTCGCCAGTGAATTTCCTGTTCAGGCTGATAGAATCTTGCAGTTTGAAAGCTTTCTGCTGTTGTATTTTAAATTCATGCATTTGTTCATGCTTCATATTCTCTTCATATTTCATGGAATGTACTATATAAATTCAGATGTTATTGGTAACTTTCTAGTTGTAACAAATATATATTTGATTTGACATTCAGGCAAGTTCTATTTTTCTATAGTTTTCTCAATTCTCTCTCTCTCCCTCTCCCTCTCCCCCTCTCCCTCCCTCCCTCCCTCCTTCCCTCTGTGTGTGTGTGTGTGTGTGTGTGTTTCTACTCTTATTTTGAAATAACAAAAACATTTGAATCAGTGGTGGGTTCCGGATCCTGTTGCAACCAATACCATGCAACAAGGCCGCGCGTCCACCACATGCACATGTGCAGTGTGTGCGTGTGTGTACTTACCACCTGCGACCCTCCGTGACACTCTAGCTGCTCGGTGGAGCGTCATGCAGGGGCCGTACACTCTGTGCTTGTGCACGGAAGTCCTGATCAGCTCAAATAGCACCGGGGGGTGGTGGTGCATAGCACGGTATCGGAACAGTACCTGGTGCTCCCAGCAGGCACCAGTACTCCTGTACTAGGGCGTACCGTTCGTATCCCACCACTGATTTGAATCCTTTTGTAATTTGTAACATGCTAGTTTTTGGTGGCATGAAAATCACAATTCCTTTTTGTGAAGGTGGTAACAGTTAGGTGAAATAAAGTTGAATTCTAGTGTAAAAACTTTTCCTTAATTATTCACTCATCACAGTTTTATTATAACCCAGAAATATTTTGATCAAATCTTGAAAGTATTAGGAGGCATTGCAGGTTATCAGGAAATACTTCAATTCATTTCAAATCCAGAAGACATGTTGAGAAATGCATTTCTTATGGGAAGCCACTGAAAATTATTCTTGATCCTGTCTTTCTGACCTCTAGTCATTCTATGTCAAAATCACATGGAGATTTCTCTGCCAAGGCTACCCACAAGAAATTTGCTTTAGATGAATTGCCTGTCACGGTTGCACATTGAAATAGTTCTTTAGGGACACTCCTGCCTGTTGAAAGGCAGGGCTAGCCTTTTTCCTGGCCTGCTGCCCTAGTGGGGTGGGGGGGAGCCTGTCGGCTCTATTTCCTTTTAAGGCAATCTGTAGGAATCCAAGGTAATTTAATGATTTGGCTGAGAGGAAGACAAAACACAGCTAGTTTGCAGGATGTTGAGGAAAGGCAGCTTTGGCAAGATAAACAACAGGTTTTGTTTTTAAGTTTCATTTTAGCAACATCTTTCTCTTTGGACAAACCATAGTTATCTAGTAGTTTGGGAGTAGATGGCCCTGATATTCACAAGATACCTATATTTTCCTCTAATATCACAATATTTCTTTCTTATTCTTAATGTCATTCAAGGTATCCATATCAAAAGGAAAAACTTTTGAAAAGAATGGACTTCAGACTTCACTTCCTTGTACCTCAGACACGGTTTGGTGCTTCACAGGCAGGCCTTAAGGGGAACTATTTGGAGAAGGTTTTGGAAAGAAATGTGCAGAGAATTGCAGCAGATCTGTCTTGTTTTTATGAGGTAGAAAGGCAGGCTTTGCTAAAATTTGTTATTTCAAGTTACAGGAGACATTTCCTTCTTGTGTATCCGGTCTTTTTCTCATCAACCCCCTTTTAAACCTGCCATGTATGCCTAGAGATGCTATGTTTATTTATTTTCTCTTTGTTTCTTTGGTTACATTAGCACTGCTCCAGTGGTGGGTTTCTGCCGGTTCGCACCAGATTGGGAGAACCGGATGGTGAAATTTACCAATCTGGTGAGAGAAGGTTTGACCGGTGGACCCGGAAGTAACTTCCGGAACGCCTGCCCCGGCCCTGTCGCTTCTCGCTCACCCCCACCCGTCGGGAAGCCGCTCCATCGCTCTCTCCCCCTGCCTGTCTGCACTATCCTAGCCCAATTCGGTGTAAAGTCCCATACTTGGGAGTGGAAGCGGTGAACGGAAAAGCATGGAGAGGTCCAGCAACACAATCCACCAGACAACAGTGGCAAGCTCAGGAGTTTTCTCCTGGATTCCTCTCTGTCATGTCTCCTCTGATCTCCCAAAGTTCTTTCTCCAGGGTGTGATAGCTTTCTACTGGATTCCCCTCTGTCTTGCCTCCTCCGTTTCCCCAAAGGTCTTTCCCCAACGTGTGATAGCTTTGTTCTGGATTCCCTTCTGTCTTGCCTCCTCCGATCTCCCAAAGTTCTTTCCCCAGCATGTGGTAACTTTCTACTGATTCCTCTCTATCCTGCCTTCTACGGTCTCCCTAATTTTGGCCCTTAATCCTCCAGTTGTCTATTTTTGGGAGGTTTTCCCCTCTCTCCCCCCTCCCCTTCATAGGAGTCCCAAAAATTTTTGCCACATGGCTTGGGGGTGGTGGTTATATGAGTGTGCATGAGTGATGTCAAGTTGGCCATACCTGCCCAGTCACATGACTGCCAAGCCACGCCCACAAAATAAGCCACACCCACAGAATATGTTCCAAAAATTTTGAAACCCACCACTGCACTCCTCTTCAAAAAGCTTCTATACGTGCTTTTTTTCTTTTTCTTTTATTAGGGTACTATAGTGATGGGTGAGGTTTTGTTTAAGTTTCCTTCTTACACAGCTATTAAAAGGTACAGGATGAACAATAGATTCCTTCCTTATCTGAACTTAGTTCACCATGGGATGAGGTAGCATCAGAGGGCTGCTTACATCCGGTTATATATTTCAGCTCTCTGCCAAACAGGAAATGGCTTAGAAGTGCTGAACCAGTGCTTGAAAGCTGTTAAGGTTTGATATAAAAGAATAGATTTGGTTTGAATGCATCCAAATCAGTATAACTTTGGGTCCATGGGTCAGATGTTTCTGTAGTAGTATGATCTTTGGCTCTGGACAGGGTTATACTCTCCCAGTTAAAGGTCATCCACAACTTGGGAATCTTCCTGCACTTGAAGCTTCTGTTCAAGGAACAGATAAAAGCTGTGGGTAACAGGACTGTTGTATAATTAATTACCTCTGCTCCATTAACTGCAACCATTCCTGGATCAGAAGCCCTTTTTGCAATCATTCATACCATAATCACTTCCTGTTTGAATTACTGTGTCTAGTAATACGCTCTATATGGGAATGCCCTTGAAAAGCATTGAGAAGTTACACCTGATTTAAAATGAGTATGAATGCCCAGATAGCAATGTATGTCTCCCATTTACTCAGCTGATCCCCTTACTGTAGAAGCTATATTGATTGCCAGTTGGGTTCCTGTTGTGATTCAAGGTTGTGGTTGTCACCTTTATGACTCTACATGGCTCTGAATGTGTTTTATCTGTGGGGTTGCTGCCTCTTCCTATATTCATCTAACTATCTGATCGGATGAAAAGATTCAATTCCCCCCAAGACATCATCTATCTGAAAATGCCATTGGGCATTGCCTCTATGCATTAGCATTCCTTCCCTAGGAGGCTCCATTCTGCTTATTTCCTCCTGGTTTCAGGAAAGTCTTGACTTTGGTCTCTAGCCCAGGAGAAGGCATGTTCTGCATATTGGAATACAATGGTAGACACATGGATTGGTTTTTGTTGGGTTTTTTAAATCCATTATCTTGTTTAAATTTGCATTTTTTTCCGATTGGGATTATTTATTTTTATTAAAATTGTTTTTTTAATGATTTGTTATCTATACAGAGCTGTAGTAAATAACTGAATTCTATGTGGTTTTGATAAAGGCCATTTGGGCAATTTCTCAGTAGAGATTTTAACTGGTTGATCCTAAAGCAGTTTCATATATTCCAAGAGTAAAATGAGACGTGCTTAAGTCCCTCTTGGTTTATTTTTGAATTTCTCATTTATTTTGTTTACAGGATGCCAAACTGGGGTGGAGGCAAGAAGTGTGGCGTATGCCAGAAAACAGTGTATTTTGCAGAGGAAGTACAATGTGAAGGCAACAGTTTCCACAAATCCTGCTTTTTGTGCAGTAAGTATTCAAGTCCAAAGTTTTATGTAAAAGTTTTGGGGGTTTTCCCACACCAATACGCTGTACCCAACTTACTCTTACCAGTGTTGTATATCAACAGTTTCCTTCAGCTGCCAATGACGAGTAAGTTACAATGGGCTTTGCACTGTGCCATCACAGAACAATCTTTGTTTTGATTTACTGCAAAATCAGTTGGAAGAAAAAAATGGAAAGAAAACTGTTGAAAAACAGATTTTTTTATCAGCATATTTTTACCAAAGATATTTATAGTTACCTAGCACTTTTCTTAACTAACATATTGCTTTACCTTCAAATTCTTCGCTTCTGGATTTAAGGATTGTTAGATTTCTTGGACGTTGATGGGTTGAAATAGAACAAACTGATCTATTTTCATAGGAAGTTATAATATGAAACTTAAATAGTATACTAACAAAGGAAGAAGAGAGAGAAAAAAGTTAAAAGATTATAAGACTCCATCTCCTCCAGCTAGAAAAAAAAAATAACTCGTGTATTATATATATTACAATAGGTACATAAAAGTAATTTTTCAGCCTAGAATTACTTAATCACTTTTTCCATTGTGTTAATAAAAAGCTAGGTTAAAGATTACAGTTTCTTCAATACAGTATTTTAAAAATCTAGAGAAATCATTTCTAACTATTCAAACTTATCTTTTTTGGCTCTAATCTCTATTACTCCAAACCTCTTCCTAAATCAGTAAAATGCATTAACATATTTGGAAAAAAAAATTTCCAAAACCAAGCCTTTGTCCACCTGGGATTAATGGAAAAACATTAATTTGGCTAAATTAATGCTTTTTCCAGTATCTCATTTAACTTTTGGCTAAAAGAAAAGCCAATCCCCAGCCACGTTATCAGAGGGGTTAAGTAATAATTTTCTATTTATGCACATATTGCCTTTTCCCTTTAAAAAAAATCACTGTATTCCACAAAATAAGTCAAAATATAAGCCCATGGCAAAGTTAAAAATCTGGAAAATTAACTTCTCTGTTACAATTTAAATAGAGAAAACATATAGATCTCTTTAGTTTCACTTGGAAAACTAACACAGTCATTTCAATATAAATGTTCATGGGATGGAAGAATTTAGAACAAATGTTTCCTGAATTATAAGTATGATTGAGACTGGCTGAAATAGCCGAGGAAAAGACATATGAAATCTATAGACATCATCTTTAAACATTAATGATATTCAAAAAGCAGTTCTGAAGACAATTCAAACTTTGTGTGCACAACATCTACAATGGGTTTACTCGTCACTCTAAGCCAACATTAGTTTTAAGTCACATTATAACTTACCATGATGTATAAACTCTACTTCTGTGTGCATGTGTATTGAAACACATGGTCTCATCTTCAGGTGAGGATGGTGTTCCATTGAGTAGGGCTAGCAATAGAAAAGGCACAATTGCTGTGTTCCACTGGTAAGATTTTTAATAGTTGCGACCAAGAGCAAATTCCTCTGCTGCACCCAATAAAGCAAGTAGAGAACTTTAGGAGATGTGAATGTATAATGAATCTGAGGGAATACAAGTATCCAGACCCACCATGCCAAGTGGTCACACATGCCCTCCCTCTCTGGTCCCTTCCCCTTTATATATTTATGTACATAAATAAAGGTTATTGCTCTTGTTCTCTTAACTTTCTAATGCAAGCAGAAATAGATGAGTCTTACTAGAAGATCAAATGATCATTTGTAGATGGCTTTTGGAATTAATGAAAGATTATATAACAATCAGTTGAAATTGAATATATTACATTACATTGTAATATTATATTACACCAAGCTATGCTGTAGGTTGGCTGTTTCTGGTCAGGAGGTTTCTGACTAAAGGAAACAGAGAACCGCCTACTTAGATCAAATGTTAATCCCTACTTGCCTTTCCATGGGAAAAACAAATTAGAAAGCTGTATGTCCTAGGTAATGCCCAAATTTCAAATTAAGAATTTTACAACTAGTTTTAGATATCCAAGTCTGTTGTCAAATTAAAGGTGCATTACCGGTAGTTGTCTGAAACAAAACAAAATAAAAATCCTAACGATTCATTGAAATATATTTCAGGGGTTTTTTCATGTATTCTGTGTAAAATTATTTCATGTTAGCATCTGATCTCACTACTCTAGATATTGTTGTGATTCTGATCTACTCAATAATGGACTTGTAGATTTTATATCTCCAGAGCCACTTCCCTCCCCCAGTGAAGCTGGGAATCTGACATACAGCCTCTGCAGCCAGCTTATGTTTTTAATAGAAAGCTTTTTGTTCTTATTCACAGCTCCATTATTGCATCCAGGGTTGGTTTGAATTCATGCCAATCAGCTGACCTTTTGTTCTGCCTTAGGAATCTCATGTATCCTAAGACTTGTTTTGCTTGTTGCATAAGCTAAATGGTAGCTGGTAGGAGGAAATATAACAAATAGTATGCATGACCTGGAGTTCCCTCAAAACATTAAAGGAATTGATCTTCTTACGGTTGACTTATCACAGTAGCGGGAAGCCATGTTTTTTCCCAGAAGTGGATAATTGTAGCAAAGATACTGCCCTTGGAGCCTCTTGACTTTTTAAAGAAATCTTAGCCCTAACATCTATGGATGTGAAAGTTGTCTCTAATATGATGTAATATTTTATTCCATTCAGATCGTTGTTGCAATACAATTCACAGTACTAATTTAGGGGGGGAAATCAGTATTTTAATCTTAATGGTTGATTCAGATTGGCTCAGTTCAGAAAATCAGTTTGTATCTAATTTGATTCAACATTTGCATAAATTAACAGGCCAGTTCATGTTTTTAAATAGTTTTATTATAGCACTAACACTTAGACCTATATACTACTTCACAGTGCTTTACAGTCTTCAGCAGTTTCCAGAGTCAGCATATTGCCCCCAACAATTTGAGTCCTCATTTTGCCGACCTTGGAAGGATGGAAGGCTGAATCAACCTTGAACTGCTCAGAATCCAACTCCTGAGCAGTGAGTTAGCCTCCTCCTCCTCCTCCTCCTCCTCCTCCTCCTCCTCCTCTTTCTTCTTCTTCTGCCATATTTATAATCAGACATTAGCAATCATGTTGGTGATCCTATTTTTATCAACAGCCACACGAAAAGGTGCTGCTGAGTTTTGTCCAAACCACTCCCTTAGATTTTGAAGCCATGGTGTTTTTCTTCTGCCTTGATCTTCTTTGCCTTCAATCTTTCTCTGAAGGACTAAGTGAAGTAAGGCATATTTTTTCGGGTATTGCTTTACATGTCCGAAATATTCTAACTTTTGCTTTTTAATGGTTTTGATAATATTCCTTGGCTTTCCCAGGTGGCTTACCACCTCCTCATTTCTGATTTTGTCAATCCAGCTTATACGTTACCACAGTCTGTAAATCCACATTTCAAATGCTGCTAGTTTCTTCAAGTGGCTTTCTGTCAGAGGCCAACTGTCCAATCCATAGAGCAGGATAGAAAAGATGTAACATCTGACAAGCCTCGTTTTCAGTCTAGGCTTATGTCGTGCCTGCAGAAGACCTTTTTGATTTTGAAGAATGCTGTGAGCGAGCCTGCAGTATTGCATTCTAACCATTGCATTATCATGGCTCATATAAGTTACAATTACGGACAAAAACTAACACAAAGTAAAAATAAATAAACAGCGCAGAAAAAAAATAAGACTATAGTAAAGAAAAAGAAAATAAATATATAAAGAAATGACTTCCCCCTCGTTACAAGCATAAACAATGTTAACAACCTTCTGTTTTTTTCCCCCTGCCATTCAATCATGACTGATTCTTAGAGACCGCCTAGAAAAGTCCCTGTGGTTGAGTCTTTTTATTTACCACATATGTATTTTACTTCTGTATTTTCTTTTGTGTATTTTACCCTGGAATTAGATCCTGTATTTTATTTTTGTTTTATATGTTTGATATGGTCATAAGACTAATCAATTAATACGCTATCTATACTATAATCTATATTACAGATTATATCTAGTAAACTAGAGACAGGCAGAGATTGCATAGAATTACCTAAGCAATTAGGGATCTTCCCTGAAAGGTCCCAAATTGATTTTCTTCCTTCAAACTTCCCAAGAAAGAGAGTTTCCAATCCAAGCCTGCTGTGGTTCTCCTGGCATCAGCTGCAATTACATGGTCCCCATTGACCATAACTCCTTGTCAGCTTCCCCATTGATTTATGACTGCAGATACTATATTAGTATATTATTCCTAAAATCACATATTTAGGATTAAAGTCTGTCAGCTCATAAGCAAGAAGCTGCATTACCAAATGTATCACAGGAGTGAACTTAGATGAGATAAAATAAAATCATCATTCTTCCATTTATCATGAAACTTTTACCCCTCTTACATTCAAATACCTAAAATATATCAGAGAGTAGCAAAAAAAACCAAAAAAAACCCCAACCCTATAAATCCCCCAAAAGTAAATTACAGCTTTCATCAGTAAACTATCTAGAAAGTTTTGAAAACAGGAAGTTCTTAAATCTTTTTTTTTAAATATTGTTTGTTGGTCCTGATCAGTCCTGATTAAACTTTTCTTTGACAAAAATGAAGAATGGATGATAATTTCTCTAGAAAAACAATTGAACTAGTAATGAATATTACTAGATTATTATTGCATTGATTATAGCAGAGAGAATTCTGGGCTCTGGCTATATCAACATAGACATTATATTTCTCTGGAAATGTAAATATGATACAGAATTGTCAAAGGGAGGACATCATTGTTTTATTTCTTTGTAGCTTGTTCTCAATACACATACACACACACATACAAAAAATATTGAAGATTTGATGACGAAAGAAGTGGATTAATATTTAGGTGAGGAGTAATAATTCATCATAAATTTGCAGAAACAGCTGGGTAAATTATTACTTTTCTAAGACGGGAATAAAGACTTTTGTGAAAATAATACAGACAGCTTTGGAAAAATAAGATAAACTATGATAAAAGCTGATGCCTTAAATATGGCTATTCCAGTGTAAGGCAAAGTTTTATCTTAAAATGCCAGTATTCAAGCCACAGTGATTTATAGGATCTCAAGGGAGGGCAATAAAAGAAGAATTAGCTGTTTCTTTATGAGAGGGGGAGTTCTTCTAAAGATCCTCCTTTCATGGCTAAATATTTTATTACTTCTCTCCCTGGTGGTTTTCTCAGCCAACCCTTTGCCAGCCCAGGGATACAAACACCATATTTGGTCAACAGGATGAGAAATTCAGCCTTCTTCTTTTCCATATATAGAGAGACTGCTCCTACTGTTGCCTCTACTGCATTCCTGAGAGAATATTTGGTTTTCTGTTTGCATTCCTTGAGAGTAAGACAATTTATTGTGGCTTAAAAGCAAACTCTGGCTATTAAAGGCTAGCTGCTATGGTCCATCACAAGAAGAAGAGAACTTAGGTTGCAGCCTATGCTACAGCCAAGTTCTTTTTCTTTTCTTTTCTCAGCCAATTGCTCTTCTAATCATATTAATAAATGGACAGAATCCAACCTCTCTGGCCAACACACACACACACACACCCACACACACACACACACACACACACACACACACACACACACAAACACATACACACACAAAATCTATACTCTGTCTATATTAATATTTATGCCTGTAGTCTAGTTCCAAAATAGCCCTATGAACAGTTTGGTCTTCTGTTGCCTGAATTATAATAAAGCATATTTGAATTGAATTGAATTGAATTG